CGAGGCTGCGGTGGCCGGGAGCGGCCACTGCACTCCAGTCTGGGCAACAGAGTGAGACTCCAACTCAAAAAAATAAAAATAAAAATAAAAATAAAAATATGTGGGAGCTAAATGGCCACAAAGATGGAAATAATAGACACTAGGGATACCATGGAGGGGGACTAGGGTTCAGAAATTACCAATTGGGTACAATGTTCACTACCTGGGACTCAATCCCCACCAATACATATTATGTCCATGTAACTCACAAACATGTACATGTACCCCTGCATAAAAATTTAAAAAAAAAATTTTTTTAAACCCTCAGAATGTATCTCTTCTAGCTACGGGAAGGCTGAAAAGCATCTGGTGTCCATGGGGACATTTTTACACAGCAATCACCTCTGGGATGTATCTGGTCACCATTTCACATGCTGGGGTAAAGCTGTGGACCCCAGGATACCACAGGTGAACATTCCGCCCCTGTGCTGCTGTAGAGCCCTAGACATTAACTTCCTGGTCATTCTTCCAGGCAGAAAGGGTGAGTGGATACAGCCCATAAAGGAGGCGGTTGGATAAAGCCTACTTCTAGAATCTTCCTGCAGTGATCACCCATATTATCCCTGCAACAGTTCCACCATGGCATCGGTCAGTCAGTTGGGTCTGGCCCCTGGCAGTCCTCAGATACCCCACCCGTGGGACCCAGCACAAACCTTTCACCTGTGACTGGATCAGTTCTTCTCAGAGTCAGCCGCTCGATGATAGAATCAAATGGCACATTGAGGAAAAAAACCCTATAAGGAAAGAACTATATTAAGTATGTTTCTTTATTGTATAATGCTTTGATATCCTGGGGGCTTGCCAGTCCTGGAGAGATTGGCCGTCCCAGGGCTGGCCAATTTCTAGAGACAGCAAACAGCTTGCCTGCAAACATGCCATATAAATATGTTTTTGGTTTTTTTGAGTTGGAGTCTCTCTCTGTTGCCCAGACTGGAGTGCAGTGGCCGCTTCCAGCCACCGCAGCCTCGACCTGCTGGGCTCCGGCGATCCTTCCGCCT